CCACCTTATTCACACAAACCACCAAACCGCTGATTTTTGTGGACTAACCTTTTTACTAACCTCACTAGATACAAGCTAGCCATGTTAACTAGCTGAGATAGCTCCCGTTCATTGTAATCATGTGTAACCTTACAACTACCGGCGCAAGAAAACTTTGTAACTGACCAACGAGGGTTAAAATGAAGGGCAACTGGACTGGTTGAAGCTACTGGAAGACGTTTCGTCCCTCATCCAAAGGACTTCTTCATTCTGACTGACTGGCAGGGAAACTCAGCTATTAACCTCAGTGGGGTCGTTTATCCCGGTCATCGATACCGCTGGTTCGTTAGTGTTCCTTGTTGCTGTGACGACAGTCATTACAGTCGTTAAGACTACCTGTGGCCAACTGAACGACCATCGTTGGTATCTTCACCTGAGGCCAATAGTTTACGTTTGTTGAGTTTCCTGGAAGTATGACGGACAGCATGTGTAAGTGGGGGATAAGTGGTGGCGTAGACCCCCCCCCTGTTCAATGACGGCTTCTCGACCCTGGTGTAGATGCTTCCTTGACACCTCTTTCAAAACCATCCTCTTCTCTGTCTAAATGTGCACCTGGTGGTCCTCAAACAAGTCCTCTGTCCTTCAGATGTAATAGACAGCAGAGTCTTGACCCCGGGATAACGACCCCACTGAGGTTAAATAGCTGAGTTTCCCTGCCAGTCATCAGAACTGAAAGTCCTTTGGATAAGGGACGAAACGTCTTCCGTAGCTTCAACCAAGTCCAGTTTGCCCTTCATTTTAACCTTCGTTGGATAACTATGACCTGGATGACTGAGAATCTTCATAGACATCTTTGTAACTGACATTACATTCTATCTAACTTAGTTAATATCTTCCGATAACCTTAACTAAGCTCGATACATAAATACCACTATTGATTAGATCACAAGAGATCAGCTAACGCGTTAAAATGTAAAAAAATGTTGTTATTTCATCAACTTACCGGCAAGCGTCCTTTGAAAACACTGAAAATGATGGGGCTCAGTGCTGGAACTATCAATGTTCAGATGCCCCCTGACATGCGTCACTAGTAGGGTGAGACAAGACACTTAACCCACAAGATGTGATTCAAGATTAGGTTCACGAGATCGAGGGGGGACAAGATTTAACACTAAGAATATTTAAAGCTTAATTATATGAAGATTTTTTACAGCATTCTGATGATATTTTTTATATATATATATATATATATATATATATATATATATATATATATTATATATATTATATATATATATCTATATAAAGAGAAACACAAAATTCAGGTGGCAGATTCAAACTCTATAGCCTAGCTATAACAGAATATGATACGGTGCAGCTCTCAGTCATTCTGTGTTGCTTTCAGATATATTTCTCCTGTAGAACAACTTTTCTCATGTAATATCATCCCAGCTGAGTCATGATTTAGTTTTCCCTCTTTTTTTTTGTTGGGAAGTGACTTCTTCAAATGTGATTGCGGCACCTTTTTACCTCAATGAAAAATTATTTTAGGGCGGAGCTACCTTGTAATTGACAAGTTGTTAGCATGGCGACATGTCAATCAGGATAGAGGCGACTCTTATCCGCTGCTCTGTATACATTTAACCAGCGCTACTGAAAAAGCTTATTAGCAGTCGGCTGTTCATTTTCTACTACTATTTGTTGCTAGCAAAAATGCATCCCGATGAATCACAATTAACATATATTACAGATGCACCTAGATACCCAAGCTAGCTGCTCTACCGTCATGGCCAAATATGGTCACGTCCAGTACCTTGCAAAAAATTAAGATGGCAACGCCAAAATGCCAAACTCGTGGCTTTAAAACAGTAGTCCCAAACCAATGACGCTCTGGACGTACTATCACACACAGACAACCGGCCAGAGTAATCACCCTCGACTGAAAGCTGGTGATATTCTTGGGCATGAAGGCAGGGTAGGAGGTAGAATCTCAGAGCTGCCGTCACCCTGGATCCTGAGGCACGATGGGCCACAGAAGGACTGCCAGATCGCTGATCCTCTTGCAGATGTTAGCGCTGTAAGCAAGGTGGTTTTAGCTGCTGGAATTTCAACTGAGGGGTTGTTGGGGCACGAGCAGGCCTGTGTCTGCAAACACACCCTTCAAAAAACACCTCGCCAGTGGGTAGCGAACATCGTCCTGTTGCTGAAACTTCGTGCAGGATGAAATGGCAGCAGTTTAGGTTTTCACCGCGCTGAAAGCCACCTTCTGTCCATCAGAATCTGAAGGACAAAAGCACCGATGCCAGGGGACAGGCCACAGGGTCCAAACCTTGAGCCACACAGCGCTGGGATGCATCCACTTCACGGTACAAGACCAAGTGGACGCCGCTCTCACTCCCTGGATGGGTACAACATCCTGCTGAGACCTTGACCTTCCAAGCATTGCCTTTCAGCGGCTAGACCCATAATCTGGCCCGGGAGTGGGTAATTCCTGAACGCCCCGCCTCCCTGGAAGAGAGCGTCCCCACGCCACGGCAAATTTCACGGCCAGCCCAACAGCAGCCGCAGCAGACAGGGAAACCTTGTCGCACCAGTGCGTTCTGGGGTATCCATCCCTGGACAGTGAAGATGCCAACTATCTAGACACCCTGTGTCCTTGTTCTGATTCATTGACTTTATTATTTATAAAGATTGAACATGTAAATTGATAACTGCTAATAAATGTAATTAAACATATGATTAAAGTTTTGTGTTGGAGTTTGTGTTTTCTTAATTTTGACACCAGAATTTTAATGTTAATGCAAATGTATATCGGTTGCAACTATCAGTCATCGGTCTCCTTGATTAATAATAATCAGAATTGGCCCTGACAAAAATCCTACTGTATATTTTTTTTCCTCCAACAGTTTTACACAGCTCATCAGTGGAAGACAAACAGCCACTGATCTGATGCGTTTGAAATGTAAACCTTTCCCATGTTGCCTCCATTTCCCTTTTCCATCATGTTAAATCTGTTAAAATCTTACTGCTCCAAAGACGGTCAGCCAGCTCCTCCTGCTTCATCCTCCTCAGGAAGTCCAGTGCGATCTTTATAAAGACCTCTCTGCTCCTCTGCTCTTCATCCTCACTGTCCAACACCTCCTTATCCTCACTCAGACTCTCAAAGCATTCTGGGTAATCTGGACTCAGAATCCTCTGGACACTCTTCAGCTCGTTCTTTACAAAAGTGATGATCTTCTCCTCCAGCAGCTGGAACAGAAACATAACTGGACATTAGATTTAAACTGCTAGAACACAACATGTGATTCATCTGTCAGTCTGCAGAGCAAAATGGAGACTGTTAGGATGTGAATGGTAGTTCAGCATTTCATCTGTGGTTGATAGTGTAGTAAATAGTGTGTTTGTAGATGAACACACCATAAATGTGGAGTTCAGGTCTGTTCGCTGCTGCTGGGCAGACTGATCACTGGGAACCTCTGAGCTCTTCTGCTGAAGTCTGTGGGGAAAAAATAATTTTAAAACATTTTAAGGACTCAATATGACTTACTTCAGGTGGGGTTTGTTTTTTGTTGTGTTTGCTTGCTCACATTTCAACCTTCCAACCAGAAAACAGCTGTGCAGCCTAAATATATTTAAACTAATCACAATCATCTGAACAGTTTAGATCACTCTAGGTGTCATATGGTTGGAAAGAATCTGTGTGCAGATATAAATAAATTCAGGGAACACATTGATAAACTGTGCAGTCAGTTTACCATAACAATTTTAGAAAAATAGGAGCGCTTAGTTTAGATAAAAAAATGCTATAGCCCATAGGAAAAAATCATCCCTGTTCATTCATCTGTTTGCTCAGTTTATCAAACCTGAGATCAATAACATCAGTTTTGAACCAGCAGGTGTACACTGTGATGTCACTGCTGAAACGGTCTACTGTTCAGTCCTACAACAGACTATGAAGCTCTGGACCAAGACGGGATTCCTCTTCCCCGGAGAGTAAGATAATGACAGTTCAGTTTTAAATTCTTACCTTCCATCAGCAGGTTGTACATCTTTAAAGTCAAGAAGATGACCATTAGACCGGTCACTCTTCAGGGACACACAGCTGGGCGCAGGAGAGTCTGGTTTCTCTTGTTGTATCCTGATACAAAAAAATACAAATGACTACGAATGAAATGTTATTTAAAAGTGAATAAAACAGGTTTGACCAGATTCTCACAAGTTTGAATTCATGAATG